ACAATTATATGACGAGGTATATCTATAATCAAAATGAGGTCATACAGCTATTGGTTATCCATTCGTGAACAATATTGCTCGTATTTTTAACCGATTGTAAAATATATTTGTTATGTTTATTGCCTTAGAACTCAGTTATTTATAAAGCATATGGGAATTATTTTTACTTGTAAGAATATACTGAATATGAGTTGTTCTTGTATGAATAAATATATTCAATAGAAACAGAACTCGATCTCAGTACTTTAGTTTTTAAATCAAAGTAATATACATGGCCTTGTTAATGATCAGTAGTATTGCGAACTAACTGTTTCCTACTGCCTCACCAGTGCGGAATTTGATAAATTGCGTTCCCGTGAAATTTAGAAAATATCTCTATTCCTTATTTCAAAATCCGTTGCGTAGTTTTAAAGATGATATCTTATTAATATTATAAACGCGAAAATTTGTGAGTATGGATGTTTGTTAATCTTTCACGCAAAAACGTTCAGTAGGAACGGATTTTGATGAAACTTTACAATAATATAGCTTATACATCAGAATAACATATAAACTATAAATTTCAGCTAGTATATTATATAAACTGATTCTCTGGTTTTACATAGCACATACCATGTGCTACTGAATCGTAACAATACTTTAATAATAAAACATAATCTATTTTTATTTCTAACGACAATAAACGTTATCTGAGTTGTTCATGCCATAATTAATTATAATATTATGACTACTGTTATCTGTAATTCATAAGTCATGATTGAGTACTTTTGTACTTAAACACATACTGTCTACAAGTTGATAATATACGAATAATGTATATACATATATTATTCAACAAATATGAATACATAATGTTAGGAGGCAAGCAAAATAAAACGTTTAAACAAATACAATGAACAAAAACTATTGAATAATAACCCATTCAATTGTGGATGCTGCAGACTATTTTTGCCATAAGCGCCTCAATGTCAAGTCTCGCATCGAGGTCGTTTGTCTTATAAAGATATTCAACGTGTACAATAAAACTCACGCTCATCATGATGATTGATCATGTTTTATTATATTGAGTAATAATATTAAGTATATATAATATATACTTCAAAATTAAAATGTAACATGTACTTATTACTTTACTTAGTTAGGTACTAGTAGTTTTTTTTTAATATTTACACCTACATAATTATAATAAATGTGCTTGAGGGGCACTTTAAAAGATCATATTAAGAATGTATTTATTAAAATTAATTTAAGAACGTTATTATTCTAAAATCTTTATATTTGTAAGGGTGGATTGGGCCTTTCGTATATCGTAGATCTATTTAAATAACTTGTTTGATACTGCTTAAAGCTGTATAAATTTATAATATAATTATTATACTTAACTTCCTATTTAATCATCTTAAACTCATCCGGGTATTTGGATATAAAGCCATGTATATTACTTACATAATACACCAAGTAAATAAGAAAAAAAGTTTCTAATTTTATTTTTAAACTGCAGGTAAGTATTAAAAAAAGATGGCGCTTGAATTTATTTATTTTCAATTCAGCTTTAAATAATTTGGAATAGGTAGATACATATCTACCTACATAATACCTACATATTTTGGTACATACCTATTCCGAGATAGATACCTAGATAGTTAAATGATTATGATAACGAATCCAAAATTATTTCAGTAACGTAACAGATTATAACTGCCTTATATATTTCATGCTATAAATATAATAATAATAAGTACCTATTTAAAAGTTCTACTATTCTAATGCAAATGGTTATTTTTATCATATACTGTTGTAGTCATTTTAGGTACCTACACATATATCTGTAATCATATCATTAGTAATGTCACTTCTATTTACGGAACGATATTCGAAAAATTATCTTATCATATGGTTGTCAATGCAAACTCACTTTATGTAATCTATGAGAACAAACTGCAACATGCATCACTAAATTTATTTGTTCGATATTATTTTTAAAGGAACTATTTTTATGGATTTATATAAAATATAAGTCAGTATTAGGTAGGTACAAACTACAACGTACAAAATGCATACGAATAAATAATGTAACCTAGCTAAATAAAATTGTTTTAATTGCTATTATATGCTTACAATGAACAATCCGATAATTCGCAACGAGCATTTACCTACAAAACCTACTTATAAAGTATCCTAATTATATATTAATCTTCATAAAATATTTTTTTCTAATTCATAGCAATGAAATTAAACTACAATAGCACTAGTGTTATAAAATACAACTGAAGTTTAAAATAACATATACATGTCAATAAGGACGTATGCACTAAATATAGTTGTATTAATGAACGGAAAATAATAAATGAATAACATGAATGAATCGATTATTTCGCGTGAATCAGAATCTTTCTTGTAAAATCTCAGTTCATCTGTACTACCTATGTCAGTATGAATCATAAAACGGAGGCTGTGTCACTTATTACTTAAGCACACTATTCTGAGTCAGCAGACTGGCACCGTTTTTGAATTTGTCTGTCGCAGCCTTGTTTACTCCAGACAGATCACCTATCGTACTTATAACGGGTTAGTTTTTCTTCATAATAATAATATATAGGTATATATCTGTTTTATATCGACATATAGCCATCATCGTTCAAGATGCTTATAAATTATAGGGTTGTAAATTCTTATGCTAGTCAAACACTGTTTTTTCAATTTTATAGTATCATGGGATAAGATAGGTAGATTATTAATTTAATATGTCTAATTTTGTAGTAATAGAATCTTCTGTAAATTTCACATTTTCTCCTCTGTCACTTCACAATTAAGGAGATAATTTAATGTTTCAAACAGTTAAAATTATTTTAACAACGATCTCAATTATATTATATTCTTATCAGTCGTTAGTATCTCATTTCTGTCATAACTTATCGCAACAACTAATCTTCTCAAGTTCAGTTTTAAGTTTTATTACACAGGTATAGCGTATGCTGTCTTAGCGAGGTATAAAAGTTCATTGACCAAATTTGTGCATCTAAAAAACAACTCAACCTTTACAAAATCTTTAGTTTCACAGATCTATTTACAAATATCACTAAACACAATGACTAAAATCCGTTTTTCAATTTCTAATTTAATTTTTATTCAATTATTGATATTTTTGTTAAAAAATGGAAACATATTTTATTTTATTAAAATAAACTTTACTTAGGTCGGCCTCTGGTAACCGTCAGCGTCGTGATTAGTTTCAGGAAAATTCGCTATCCTTTCATCAACCTATCATCTTCCACAGGTGGCCCGCCAGCGCATACCATCAGCACAGGCGAGAGTACCAATTCATTATAATACATAAATATAATATTGATTTATACGTACATGAATTTATAAAAAATATAACACTAATAATAATGTAATACCTACCTACTTTTTTACGTTAGAATTAATGTGATTACAATTAGGAAATATTTATAAACAATAACGATGTTTATTTACTACGCAACACATTTGTTGTCAAAACTTGAAAAGTTGCCAAAAGTAGACAACATAAACCTACATACAATCTATAACACAGATCTTTAGATATAATTATAAAGTTGTGCGTACTCAAATAATATTTATTAGATATTATTTCATTCATTTGTCATATGGTTACCTATCTACTTGGTAGCTTTATCAGTTTATTGGTGAATGGTTTCAATTAGATAACTAAACAGGTATATTAGTTACTTTAAATGCATCAGGATTATTAACTGTGCACAAGTTGTTAGCATTGGTATTTTATAATTTGTGTAGCATACTTACTATGGGTGAGGTTACAGATCACTTGCCCAAGTCATGCCTATGTTACAGTCATGGCAATTGAGCCGTAAATCCACAGAAGATATCTAACGAATTGTTAAATACAATAGCAAGCCTTAATTAATTAATTAGTGACAAAGTACTTCAAAAATGCAAGAGTCGAAGAAAGTGATATATTTAATTATATTCAGTTATTGTAAGTTACATTTTGTTATGTGTGTAAGAATTAACAGTATAAAACCAAAGCAATTCCAATGCGGAAAATATACGCAAAACAACCTACTATGGTTTATTATTTTTTTAAACATTTACCGCTTATTTTTTTACTTACGTAATTTATATGTAGTTATGTTAGATTTGTTTACATTCCAAATATCTACGTGATAAAGGTCATACCAATTTTGGTCATTAGGAATTTTACTTACTGTTAACCTATTGCAGTTATTAGCTAAGCTTAGATTAATTCCAAACGATGTAAAATAAATATCGATTCAATATATTCAAATGTGAAATTATATACTTACACCTAACTACATACGTATTATAAAAAATGGGCAGTGATAGCGTCTATAATCATTATGACATTTGTAATGTAGGTATTTTAATATTTGCTACAAAGGTATAGCCATAACGAACGCCTTTACCTACATACTTAAAATGATGTCACAAATGTTAACTCAGATTTATTACAAAACAATTACTACATTCACATAGAAGCATTTGATTTTGAATTAATTAAGTCGGAAATCTATCTATCTAAGATTTACTCACAATTTGCTTGATTTTGTAAGACTATTGTACGTCTAATATCATTTACTATTGAATTATTTATGTGTTCTATATAATTTGAGTATATTTTTAATACTTATTTGCAATTGCAATTGGAAAAAGCTTTGGAATACTCAGAGAACAAGGTGCAATTAGATATATTAACTGAAACAAACTGGCAACTCCGATTGTGTTAAACTGCATCCAGTCGATGTGAACACGGATTTGTGTTCGCAGATAGATACAGTGGCTGGTGAAATATAGGCCTATACTAGATATGAAATGATCAAGCACATTTTTCCCAAATAATTTTTATACCGGCTATATCGTAACTTGAGTTTTCTTCAGCTAGCCAACAGACGAACATGCTCCCGAGGCAAGATATAATGCGTGTATTAACAAAGGACTTATCAGCAGTCATCCCAAGATTGAATAATATTAAACCTTACCATTTCTAGTGCAGTAGTCTATCGCTCGAACTTTACTAATCCAAACCATAATGGTAATTAGATATACATTCCAGACAGCCTTCATTTTAAATATGTTGTAGTCCTTCTTGAAGTTTGTAGAATATAGTGTGTTATCTCTCATCGACCACTTGTAAAATTACAACCATAGCTCCATACCGTGAAGGTAATTGGAGCGGTCTATTTCAAACGATCGGAGCCAATACTAACAATTCACATTCCAAGAGTTACGCGTTACACTATTACCGTACACACTTTAAAACTTGAGAACTCTGACTCATTTTGATTTGAACCATACGTGTTGCAATTTTAAACATAAAATGATAGTCTCCACTTCACATTTTTATACGTGTAATGCACCAATTGAGAGAAATTGAATAATTGATTTGATACTTTTTCAACAGGGGCTAAATAGGCCACTAGCCACTACGAAAGTTGTAAACAAACTCAACAATTTTTCTGTACGCTACACGTGATGGTGTTCATTTACGGCGACGCGGCCGGTTCGCGTCCTTAACTCCGACGGAATGCGATGTTGTACGAAGTTCGATCACGAACCGAACCCGTTTCTGTACTGTTGGCTGTACACCAGACACCACAACACCACACCACACGAGGCAAATATTTGACTTGTTTTTACTGTTTAATCTTCACTATCAAACTGGAGAACATTTTGTAATGTAGGTAAGTATCTATATAATAATAATAAATGCATTGATTGCTACATGAATATGCTAATTAGTCAGTTAAATATCCCTGACAACGTGATATTAAATAACTAACGATGAATTTATAAATTAGTTATGGATATAATTACATCGATTATTAAATACGCAAGCCATTTCAGTAGCCTTCTAAATATTGAAGAGATTAACTTCTGTATCCACAGATGTACTTACAGTTCACGAAAAAAATACACCTCAGACAGTATTAACTAGGCATAAACTCGGATCAATTAATTGCCTGATTAATGATTTTTAGTTTAGAAGCACGTGTCGCGCAATATTGGTGTCAGAAATTGATTATTAATAAGGAAGCTGTATTTTTAAGTCTTTGTGTGTTATATGTGGGTGTTGCTCAATCATTCAAATCAAACAGTGGATTTTAAATTATGCTATAATGCCAAAAAATATTAAGTGACCGATATCATAAAAATAGTTGTAATCCGTTGGAGCCTTCTAAACCTTCAACACCAATAGAATAAAAATATGAGTACCTAGGCATAGTCTAAAGGTATGGTTTATTTTGTTGTAATTAATGTAGTCAATAAACTCATATTTAAATTATTCTTCGTAATTGTATAATCAAAACCAACGTAGAAAGTCTGCAAAATGTTTTGTCGCCAAGCAGATTTGTAAGCTGCATTTGTTTTGTTGTTGATATTTTGAGATAAGCTAATGAAATTAAAACATATCAGTCATTATTATTATTATTGTTATTACATCTTAGTCCTTAGAAATGCCAACGCTTGTACCTATATTATCACGGGCGTCAGAGAACCACGTGATATCTATGGTCCATTCATTTATATAGGCGAACATAACCAATTACCAACCATCAGATGGGCCGTCGTCGGCTCGTTTGCTATTACAATTGAGTAGGGGAGCGGGGGGCACGTTGTTGCAGGGGTACGAAGTTGTGCGTTTTTACCGGGATTTTAAACTCTTTGATGGGTATAATTGGACTCATTTGTGTTCTTATAACGTCGTACACTAGATAAAAACTATCAATGACCCGCCAAGCGCCAAGGAGCTAGGTTGTGTGCATGTGTCTCGATTTCAACCAACTAAGTAAAAAAATCTTTTACGAAATTTTTGATTCCTGATGTCTATATGTTTTATTTACTCAAATTTTTTAATCTTGAACGTTCATTACATATCTACCTTGAATTTGCAATATTATTTTATTCTGATATTTACATATTGATATACATTAATGATGACTTCAATTTATATTAAAAAACGTGTCATGGGACAAGTAGTTACAATTGTTTGAGGGTACAAGTTGTTACATGTAACAACTTACCCCAAAAATATTATATCTGGTATTGTAGGTTCGTCTTCACATTTCAAAAATTCTACATATTCTTTGTTTTTTTCCAGAATGAGAAACTATAAAAGAAAAACAGAAAGAGGTACATCTAGTGAAAAAGTTTATGAATCTGCTGCAGCAGACGTACTGCAGAATAAAACGAGCATACGTAAAGCAAGCGAAATGTTTAATTTGTGTCCGCTGTCCTTATCCAGGTGTCTCAGATAAACAAAAAACAACAAAAGTTGTTCATTGGGTTACGTTAAACCTAAATTTGTATTCTCACAAGAAACGGAACATAAATTAGCTTCTAATCTACTTAAAAGTTCAGAAATATATTTTGGTTTACTACCAACAGAAGTACACAAACTAGATTATCAATGTGCTATAAAACTCGATTTAAAAAATATTCCCCCCAGCTGGTATAAAAATACTGGGCTGGACTGGTTTCCTGGTTTTAAATGTTAAAAGACTGTTTAAAATGACGTCTATTGTTTATAATGTTTTAAAATAATAATAAAAAAATATGTATAATTTATGACTGTGTTTATTTATCTACCGTAACATCGTGCCCCGATGATGTAACAACTAGCCCCAATTGGAGGGTAAGATGTTACAATCGACTTGAAAAAATGACATACATTTTAATAATTTTTCAGTCACATTTTAATTGCTAAATAGACATACTAGTTTTGCAAGTAATCCAATATATAATTTGTTTCATTGCTTTTGTCATATTAACATCTATCTAAAAATTGTAATAATGTGCCCCCCGCTCCCCTACATACAAATATATATATATAATGATCCGAACAAACAAAACATTCCAATGAAGATTATTTCTGAATGCACCAATATAAATTAAAGTCTTGCATATATCATTCTTAGGAGATTGCTTAATTAATAAATTGCTTAATATACTTAATTTTAATACAGTATAATTTAGTTTTACCTTTTCGTGAAAATGGAGGAGGAACTGCTTGAAAAATAAAGACTAGGATAAATAAGAGCAACTATTAAAGACTATTATTAGTGGATATATCAAACATTAGTAATGAAAGATTCCATGAACAATACCTATGGTTTTCCCTCTAGGTATGTAGGTAGTACTGATATTATATATGGATCGCCATTCCCCATGGGAAAGAGGAATGGCGTTAAAGTAACTGCTACCAACATTCCAATTAACTTGTAATATTATGTAAATCTAGTCAAAGTTAATGAAAATGAAGTATTCGAAAAAATTGGTATAAATTTAATAATACAGTTCATTTAGTTGATATCTAAAATATAATGGAAATAATTGCGCCTTAATTATAGCTACCGATAGTATTTTGAAAGAGAGAGTTAGTTTTTATGTCAATATTGTATAAACCACTCACAAAATCGTCTGCGTACTGCCTCTGCCTACCTATTTCATCCGCCAAGATATGTATCTTAGGTAGGTAAATAGGTAGGCAGAGGTATAGAGAGGCCTTTAGGTATAAGCTGTGTTGTTATCGGTTAAAAAATGAGATAAGGCAGTGAAATTACTAGGTAAGAGACATAACATCTTAGTCCTCCAGAATTGCAACGCATGAGTCATCACGTTAGTCACACGATAACGTATTGTTCATGTATATAGGCAATGGTCACCACTTACTATCAGGTATACCTGATAGTAAGTTTGGAATTTGAAATAAATTGAAATGGTAAACAAGCTTACAGTATACTATATCACATAAAAAAGGTAATTGTTAACAATCCTGTAACATGTTTAAGAGATGTTGATGAAGTGAATGACAAAAATAGCAACTAACTTCATGTCAGATCACTTAGCCAGTGGCGAATACACCGGGAATTGACCACGATTGTCTCAACGGGGGACTGCGTGGAGGTCGACATGATAGAGCACATTGCTAGCAATGGGGTCGACAATCTCATTACAATCCCCTCCCCCTCCCTCAGGACCCAGTTCATTGGTAGATACCTACATATCAAGTGTATATCCAATTACGCAGATAGCTGGTACTGAAGTGGCAACGCATGAGCGGTACGACGCACAGCAAATGCAAATCTATTTAGTTCAATAATATCTATAGACTATAGTAACCACAAGCCATTGCTTCGCAATGGCTTGTGGTTACTAACTGGCTCTAAAAATAATCTACGAGATAAGTATTGTTGCAATTCAATCTAAATGTAGCTAAAATAAAATTATGAGATATATTAAACCAATAATATTTGAAATAATAGAATTTTTAAAATATTATCCTTTTTGTTATTAGTTAGCATCACAATGGTGGTCGCTACCATTAACCATAGAAGTAGAAGACAGAAGCAGCACTGCAATAGTATTGCATAAATATTGCAGTGCTGCTTCTGAGAACACACTGTTACATAATATACGAGTTTTTCTATACAACTTGTCACCATTATTTTCGTATCTTATGTATCGGCCAGCTCCAATAACTATACATATCCTTAGAGTAACCCGTAATGTACAGATTTTTATCGCAATAATACCTACATATTATTGATCTATAAGTAAGTTTTACTGTTAGCCCGATATTGGTAAATAAATACTTATTAATTATCATATATCATATAAAAGAACAACTAATAATTGTACCTATAGAAATAATTTTCAAAATTGCTTCGACTGTCGGTTTCTATATTTTTTTAATAGCAAATAATGTATGTTTTTAAATGAGAACAAGTTTTGAAATCAATAAGTTTGTATAGAACCTTAGAAACAAAAACTAAAATATATCCTCTTTTATAATATTATAGTTTCAAATCTGTATTACTCGTAGTACAACATTTTATATTTCTTGAAGTTTAAAACATCTTAACGCTGTTATATTATTTTTAAGCTATAGTTATTTGTATAATGTTTGTTGGCTTTATCCCTACAAGCCGAACAACTGGGTCGTATTGTAAATAAAACTCCATTAGTTACATAGTCATCATAATCTATAAATGGAACACACGACAAAAAGATAATGTGCACGTTCTATGTACGCGCTCGAGTTACTAAGTACTTGCACTATGGTAACGTAGATATCTAAATGTGATTGCAAATATGAGTATGTATGAATGGACCGATTGTTACTTGATCCGGGATAATAAAGTCGAGTACCTATTAAGTCGGTACATGAAATAATGATAATACCTCGCCCAATTTTGTTTATTAGCCTGTACAATCACAAACGACCAACTTTATATCTTTATTTGCTGTCTGGCCGTACATGCTACATGCATTTATCATGTGCATGTAGATACGAAATTATGTAAATAATATAAACGAAAATTAAGGTTAGTAACATTAAAAGTACTTATAAACAATCAGTATTAAAATATGTTGCATTAAAAGATATCACTTATGATATTATAACACAAATTAGTATTACTAAGTATTTTATATGTATCTTTAGGGCTTTCAAATCTGAAGATATAAAATATTGTTAATCCAAGAAAGGAATTATGTAGCTCAT